CTTCTGGCTTCTCAGTGCTTACAGATATTATAAACCCAACCGGTTACCTCCTCTCCGGGATAAATGCTGTGCCTGATTCCCGTGCGTCTCGCTTTTGCGCTGCATTTGCAGAGGGGTCCATCATTCATCTGTCAGAAACAGAATGTAATTCTTTTTTATTGGGGGGAAAATCCACACCACACACGATGAGGCCTCAGAACTGTGTGGGTTTTAATGTCATGAGTACTGAAGCTCTGAAGAGGCTGTCACAGTTAGAAAATTAAACGGATGTTCCAAAACCAATAGAGCTGCAAACTGTCTATATTTCCAATAAAGGGAAACCGGAGGACAGTGCTGGATTCCCGAGCTTCATGTGCAGCCAAGCAGAAAACATCAAGGTCAGTGTGCTATTTGCCCCCATTTTCTCCCACCACTGCTCAGTATGGTTCTCCTATTTCTTATTTCAGGAAAAATGACTCTTTCACAAAAGAAAAGCATATTTTATATCCTGAAGGAAAACAGAGAATGCTTTGAAGGTGACCTGCAGCTTATATGTCTTCAAAAGAGAAACCTAAACATATCTGAAGCAGAGAGAAGATAATGCCTGCTTGAGCCAGCAAACTTCCAACACAGATCAGGTGAGTCTGTGTTTTTTCACCAGAATTTATTTTACTGCCACATGATTCATTAAGGGAATAATATCCTGAATGCTTCCTTGATAAAAAGCAGACTGCTTAACATTACAGGGTGATTGGGGTGGGGGGTGATAAACAGCTGAAGGTCCATGTATTATTAAGGGCATCTAAAGAGGTGAAATGACACATACATGATATTCTTAGTAATTTTAAAGCAGAAGGAAAAAAAGTCCCGATGGAGATACTACTGGCTTCAAAGACACAAAATGTGAAGAGCTTAACAGGACAGGAAAAGAAGACAGTTTTCCTACAGGAAGCCCCAGCACGAGGGAAAAAAAAAAAGAGAAAAAAGAAAGCCTACGTTATGCTCCGGGGACACAAGACCCATTTAAATGGAATGGATCATTTATGTGAACGAGAAGACCAAAGAAGCAGAACTGAGATCAAAATTTTAAAGGGCCTTCAAGGCCAGTTTCATGAGTTTATTTAATACAAATGGTAATACTGAACCAAAAAGGAGCTGAGAGCCATCAGTTTGGAAAAGGGAAAGTGCAGTTCCACTTCTTGCTTTCCTTTTATTAACTGAAAGATAGGCATATATATAAAACATACATTATAACATATATATTTACATATATATACACACACATATTTCTTTAAAGCTCTAGGGATTTGTAACTCATTCTGTCCAATGAAAATATCTCAATAAAACTTGAAAAGAAATATTAAGTGAGAAACTATAAGTTTCTCTATTCTTTTGGGAAATCTAAAGCTCCAGGTGGCACAGTGGAGGAATAAAATTGCTGCCTAAAAAAGTATCATGTTAAGATCTTAACCAAAATAACAGCTGGCAGAGATGTGATGGGATTCCCTCAAAAGTCACAACATACTCCTAATATTGGTCACAACTTATTATGATGAAAAATATGGAAAAATCACTTACTTTCCAGAGGAGCAGACAGACATCTTAATGGGCCCCAGTGCAGATCAACCCTTTATAAGGCTCAACTATACAGAGGACTCAAAATCAAATACAGGAAACAGAATGGTGAGACTATATAGAAGGCCCTAGCAAATCTATGATAGGAACAAGAACCCACAGAAACCAAGAGATAGGCTTCTTGATAAGAGAACAACAATCCATTAAAAAGACCACATTTGGGGGAAGAGAAGTGATGACAAATGGACACAGGACTTCTTTTTGAGATATAAATGCTCTAAAATTAGACTGCGATGATGGTTGAACAACCCTGTGAATGTACTAAAAAAACACTGAATTGTATACTTTGTGTGTAAATTGTATGGTATGTGAGTGATAACTCACAAAAGCTGTATAAAAAATCATGTACATGATTAATATACCAAAGTAAATATTAACAACTTGCAAACATTTCTGCTCAATTTCAAGAGAATAAACAAGGACCACAAAATACATTCCTTTCAGGCATTCTAGCTATATTTAATCTATTAAGGAAAAAAACTTAGAGAGCTGTCATCTAGTAAGAACCAGAAGTGCATTCAAAGTAATATAAAATGGTATGAATTTATTTACAAAATACAAATTTTAAATCATCTTTTTATAGGTATATGTCTTATGCTAATAATTTCATATACATTAAAGATACTATATTTGTATATTTTATATATTTGGAAATAAAAATCTTTTACAAAGATACTATCTTGTATTATGTATTACTTCATAATAAAACACTAAGTAAAAATAAAAATGATTATATCCAGCTATGACATCATTAGCTCAAAATGCCTGGAAAAAAACTTATAAGGAACTATAACTATTACCAACAAAGAAATATAAAGTCTTGTAGGACTTAAGACATTGTTTACTGTATTGTGCAAGATACCATCCAAATGAACTGCTTTTAAAAAGACCTACCAGTGCTCTCTCCCTCATCCTACCATTTGTCTCCTTCCATTTACTGCAAGTTTAATAAGGCAGTGCCATTATCCTGCTCTCTAACACAGAAATTTACAAACATCACCAAATATGATTCAAGTAAGAGTTGTGCCAGTGCTTACGCTTTGGAGCTTAACTCTGAAGCAGAGAAGAAATAAGCTCGGAAGAATGATACACAGCCCTGAGAGTAAAGTTCAGTTTCAATACCAGCAGCATGCATCTTCCAAGCCTCGAGTCATAAACATGATGTGTGGGTTTGCAACTTTCAATAGCAAGAGTGTAAAAACGTGCGCACCTGGCCTGGGTCATTGTACCAAAGTTCATCGTGAAGGCGGTCAGGATGGGCCTTTTTGCGTTTGATCTCTGCAATGACGTCAAACACTTCTGAGTCTGTACTGCTTGAACACGTGCTGTCCTCATCAGATTCACACTCAGATTCACTGGAACTCTCTAACAGAGGTGGGGGAAACATGGAGAGAAGCTAAGGGAATTCACAAGATAGCTGTATGGAGATTTCCAAATAACCCAAAATGTAAATATAAGGACAGTTACTTATTCTGTCAGCAAATATTTAAGTGCCTTTTCTGCACCAAGAATTCTGCTAATCAACACCACAAAGTATAATTAAACTCATAATGTTAAGTCACAATCAAGTTGGGGAAACAAAGAAAACAGAGTGTTACAAAGAAAGACTTAATGAACAATCCCAGAGAACATGCAAATCACAACAGTAATGTGGGGTTTCACAGTTAAAAAGGGGCAGCAATTCAGAAAAAGGCAAGGCCACCCTGATATGGAAAGGTCACTGATGATTTCCCAGAGTGGGTGCACGTGACCCAGGCATGGACTGGATAAAACAGACCAAGAATTATGCTAAGTGATATAAATCAGTCACAAAAAGACAAATACTGTGTGATTCTACTAAAGTGAAGTACCTAGACTAGTCAGTTTCATAAGGACAGGAAGTAGAATGCTGGTTGCCAGGAGTGGGGACTTGGGAATTGCTGTTTAACAAGTAAAGGGTTTCAGTTTAGCAAGATGAAAAGTTCTGGAGACTGGTTGCACAACAGTGTGAATGTACTTAACACTACTGAATAGTATGCTTCAAATGGTTAAATGGGACATTTTGTGTTATGTGTATTTTACAATTGGAAATAAAACAGACCTAGAACTTAGACTAATACTATAAAAAATTAATGTAGGACAGGATGGTAATAAACCCCGACTCTTACATAGTTGTATTTTCAAGTATACGCATGTCAACCCTCCTTTACAGATGAGAAAAGTGAGGTATGGAGAGATTAAGCCACTTTCCCAAGGTCACACGTCAAGTAGTGGAGCAGGGATTCTAACCCAGGCCAGCTGGTCCTGTCAGTGCTTTTACCCACCAGGGATACTGCCTCTCAGCATGAGAGACAATAAAGAAGGTGGGCAGACACAAGCCAGGAATATGCAGGAAAAGGCATACTGAATGTCTCACCTGTGCATGGCCTTCTATTAGGGGCTAAAGACACAAAGTGGTCTAAAGCAGCTTCTATCCTCAAAGACCTCAGTATCTACTTGGAACCTCAGAATATGCACATGAAAAAACAGACCATGATATGAGAAAGTTGTGGAAACTGTGAGAGGAGAGAAATCAGAACTGGACTGCACCTGCGGTTTTCTCATCAAACCAGAAGCACCCTGGCAGTGGAAAGGGCCACGAGGGGATGCCTGCCCATCAGAGGAATGAGGCATGGAGAACAGGATTCTGGTTTTGAAGGGAGGCTGAACTGTGACCCCTTCTGATTCTGAGACTGGACAACTCCAAAAGGACAAAATTATTAGCATGCCTTGTAAATGAGATCTCTTAGGCATTCTTCCGAATATAACTAAGGACAAATAAGATCAAAAGATTCAAGTTCCACTGCTATATATTTTGCTGACTGTAATTAAGGAAAATAAAATGAAAAAGAGGAAATTTCAATTTTGGACTGACAAGGACACAACCCAAAAGTTCAGGAATAAGCAATAGTAAAAGAGCACAGGGTCTGGGTCTAGCGACTTCTGACCCACCTAAATCTTCATCTAGCTTTGTCTTGGGAGGCTCCCACGGAGGTCTCGCAGCTTTGGCCTTCTCTTGCCTGCTCCCCAGCTCTTCCTCAAATTTGTCATACAAGTCACGGAGTCTACTTGTTCCAACTACAGTAGAATCTCCCTTTGAAAAATAAAGGACCAACAACCAACATTAGAAACTCTAGTAAAATAGTCATACTAAAGAGACAAAAGACCTCACAAGTAATCAAAGATTTGCAACATCAAGATGCCATTTTTTGACCCTCAATTTAATGAACATTTCAAAACACAATGCTTGACTGGCAATGATGCTCTAACTCACAAATCTGTGGCTTACAGTCCTCAGGAAAATGCACTTTGCCAGCATTCAGAAACATTAGAACAATTCATCTATGCCCTTTTGGTACAAAGGAAAATCATGACCCCCTTACACCCTCTTAGGGAGCGTATACTCTGCCCTTCTGATAGTCTATCTTCCACATTAACCCAATGATCAAAAAAATATCCTATATATCTTCCCCCAACACACAGCCCTTAAACAAAGGGATACAAACACACACACACACTCCACAAACATGGGGCTCTGCAATGCATTCTTATAGGAGTTCTTCACTTTTGCCCACTCTCTTCCCAGGCTGAAAATTGCTTTAAATGTCCATAATTCTTTGACTTAGTAATTTTCAAAATGTAAGGACTAGACCTTTCAGCGATAATAATAAAATTAAAGTGAATCATAAATCTGCAGTTATCTCAAAAGAAGGCAACTGCTTTTCTTCAGCTCCACTCCAATGCTGGGACTGCTCTCACATTCCTACCACCTCTCTGTACCAGATGAAGAGATGCAAAGGCAAATGTTTAGCTTCTGCTTTATCAGCCTTTCTCTACACTAGAGTTTTTAATATATACATAAAAGTGTAAGAAAAAAAAGCTCTGACTCTTTAAACTCTCTGGAACTCAGTGTCTTCAACTTTGAAGAGTCATACCCATGGCAGCCATCCTCCCCTTTATCCTTACCAACAGACCCATAATCCCCTTCAGATTTGGGGCAGAGAACTCCTGATCTCAGGAAAGACAGGCTGAGCCAGAGTCCCCTCCCCACCAAAGACATACCTTACATGGCAGGAAGGACTTTGCAGATGATTAAGTTCACAGAATTTGAGATGGGGAGTTGATCCTGGGTTATCTGGATGCTCCCACCCTAACATGAGCCTATAAAAGTAGAGAACCTTTCCCAAAAAAGGAGTCAGAGGTGCAACAGAAGAGGCAGGAGATTTGAAGAAGAACATGAGAAGAACTCTACCCAGAGCTGCTGGTCTTGAAGATAAAGGAAGGGGTCCATGAGCAAAGGCATGCACACGGCCTCTGGGACATGGGAACAGCCCTTGCCTGCCAACCAGCAGGGAAACAAGGACCTCCACCCTAGAGGTCCTTGGAACTGAATTCTGCCAACAACCTGAATGAGTAAGAAAACAGATCCTCTCCAGAAGGGAATGCAGCCTGCTGACACTGATTTAGCCAGTGAGACACAAGTCTGACTACTGACTTACAGAAGTGTGAGATAATAAACAGGTGTGGTCTTAAGCCATGAAGTCTGTGAAAATGTGTTCTGGCGGTGATGGAAATGAATCCCTGGCAAAGACATATATCAGTTCTGGTGAAGGGATGGAAGAAAAGATCCGTGAGACCCCTGGATGAGCTCCTGGAGGAAGGCCCCACCAACACTGCTGTCCGCATCCGCACCTGGACAGAGGTGCGTAAGGATGTGATGCCTGAGCTGCTGCGGTCATCCTGCACCACGGCGGACACTCCAGAAGACAGTACCAACCTACAGCCCTGCAATCACCAAGCCACTAACTGAACTGGCCACCACCTCCCCCCAGACATCTTGTTGAGAAAAATAAACCCAGCTCATTTAAGTCATGATTAGTCGAATGTTATTATTTACAGAAATATTCTTAACTGATGCAGACCATCTTCCAGGGATGTTTTGAGGATTAAATAAGATAATATGAGAAGCATGGAGTAAAGTTCTGGCACCAAAAAGTGCTTGGTATGTAAGCTTTCCCTTCCCTGTATCACATGAACTATGACCAAAAACCCTCTTCTAATTTATCAAGCAAAATATCACACCACTATGAGAGATGTTGCAAACCCTTTTTTTACAAAGACAAGGTGGTCTCCCTTCAAGTGTCCCAGGAAAAAGGATCTGGTCTGAATAGAAGCTCTTTTCACAAAAATCTAAACAGAAGGCTCTCTTATCTAATCCCAGGCAGAAATCTAACGTTAATCTCCAACCTCTTAGGCCCTAAATCTGTAGATGTTCACTCCTTCCTTCCTTCATCTCACCAGTAAATATTACTGTGTGTCTTCCCTGTGGGAAATACGCCTAAATGAATGGGATGGAGGCATAATAACTATAGGAAGAAAACAAGAGAGAAGAATGAGAGACTGACCTAGAATAAAATGGAGATGAAAGAAGGAAAAGGAAAACAGGGGAGAGCCCATGGAGGAGGCTGTGGCTGCCGGGCCCCAGGGGCCCCAGTGGAGCAGCACGTGCCAAGTCTCTCAAAAGCCTAGTAAGGGTGAGCATACCTGCCATCCCACAAAACCAGCTAATATGCACAGGAAATTTCCTATGGTTATCTCTCGTCAACAACAGCCTTGTAAGAGATAACCTAAAATTCTCCCTTATTTCCCATTTTGGGGAACACTACACATACAAATACACATACACACACCACAAACTGCATAAAGTACTTATGGGTGAGAGCTTACAAAACCACCAGGACAAGACTAGCGGTGTCATGTAACACAAAGAATAATGGATACTTTACTGCACTTCCCTTTGGTTTTGTAAGACAGCTTTTATCTATAGCAGCAGTTCCAACCAGGGTAGGGGGCAGCTTGTCCCCCAGGGGGACATTGGAACAACTAAAAACAGCTTTGGTCAGCACACTGGGGTGGGGTTCCACTGGCAGGTGCTGCACAAAGCCTGAGATGCTGATCCACATCTCGCAGTACACCCCCAAAAATTACCTGGCCCAAAATGCCACGAATGCCAAGATGAAAAGCCCCTCTCCCACTTCAGACCTACCACCTGATCCATGGGGTCACTGGAGTAGTAGTTTTCTGAGTGGGTACATCGAATCCACACAGGCTTGAGAAGTTCTTCTTCCTCCTCCTCATTTTTGTCAGGAGACGCCTCCTCCAGCTCTTTTTCCTTGATGGACGTATAATTTTTCTCTTTGCAGGAGCTCTGGCTGTCATTCCATCTGTCTTTTTCTTCCTCCCAGCGAGCTCTCTTCTTCTCCCTACTTGGGGAGCGACTTCAAAAGGAGGCGGAGGAGGCTAATTATTAAAAATGTTCTTCTGTTGCAAAACCATTCTATTTCACCTCTTACTGTGTGTCTACCCTGTGGGAAATATGCCTACATGAATGGGATGGAGGTATAACACCTATCAGAAGAAAGCGAGAGAGAAGAATGGGAGAGTGACTGACATAAAATGGAGATGAAAGAAGGAAAAGGGAAAAGAGGGGAGAGCCTACGGAAGAGAAAATGCCACACCAGCAACACAGTGCCAGGAACAAACGGAGTTACTTCTGCTAACCCAGATTCCCAAACACCAGCCCGGTGGCATCAGAATTGGCTGAAGTGACTTGTTTAAAAACGCAAATCCCCAGGCCCTGCCCCAGACCTACTTACTGATTCACAGTCTCCAGGGGCGGGGCCCAGGAATCTGTATTTTTAGTAATCTCCCCAGGTAATTCTGGTGTGCATCCAGCAGGTTCAGGAACAATTGGCAAACCATAAGTCCTAGAAAAGAAAGACATTTGGGAAATTTGTGGACATCTTCACATAAAGACAATTTCAGCAATGAGAGTACAAGTTTCCAGTCCTCCACATCTTGCTTTGCCAAGAAAATAAAAGACTTCGCAACCAGAATAGAGCTTCCATGGTCTCACCTTGGCTATAAATTTAGCCTGAAGATCCTAATCCAAGAACGAACCAGTTGTATCATCCCTGACCATCTCTCTGAAATCCACTCTTGGGTATTGCTACTTAGTGACCTACCACTTTGCCTAATTCTGATCCTCACAAATACTAAATTGACTCAATTAAAAAGGATAAAAAATAACTATCTTCTTCAATTGCTGGGGCTTGAAATTTGCAAAGGTCCATCCTATGGATGTGCTTATTGGGAAAAACCTGTAATGTAGATTTTAATTTAAGCCCAAGAAATTAAGGCAGAACCATACAGACCTTGAGAATCCAGCCAAGGACAGTGATTGCTTGTTACACTGGCAGACTCTGCAGCTCCACTAATAAAGTTACTATTATCCAAGAAACTTTCTATCTTCACAAATTAACTGTTACCATCAACTCTACCAACTAGTTTCTAATTTTGTGACAGGGAAAGTGTAAATGGATAGGTGTGTATACATTGGGGAGGGGGTAGGAAGAGGTGGGTTATTAGAAAAATTATATATATTACTTATTGATATAACTCCTAAATATTACAGTGTATATCATTAGTTTTGTTATAATAAGTTACTGTAAAGAAAATGCATATACATTCACTGTAGAAAAAAAAAAGCATAACAGCAAAACACCCATAGCACCACGCAGAGATATAACCAATACCTTTCACAAATGTGTTAGAACATACAGATACATGAATATATATTTATAAATATACACGTCTTAACAAAAAATGGAACTCAATAGCCTGACCCTTTCACTCAGTAGTAAATGGGGAACAGCTTTCTATTTCAAATACATCTCTACCTGAACCATTTTTAATAAGTACATATTCTTCTTTTATATGTATAGATCATAATTTAACAAATCTGATCACATTTAGATTGTCACCATTTTTTTTGTGTGCCATAAACAATGATACCATGAACACGCTTGTGTTCCTAGCACACTTGTCAGATTTCAGAGTCTCTTCTTTCTTTTTAAGGCTTTTCCACAGACAGGTAGTACCAGTTTAGATTACCATCAAAACTGTGTTCCAGTTTCCTTTCCATACATTCGGTCAACATAATTATTTTTAATTTTCACCATTCTGATGAAAAAAGTATCTCATTTACCTTAATTTGCAATTTTTAATCACTACTGAAATGACACATTTCATGTTCATTTCTTTTGTATAAAAATCCATCATATAGTATGCCAATATTTTTAAAATTAGGATTGTAGAACTTTATTGGAAGAGCTTTTTTAATTAATAGGCTTTCTTCTGTCAAATGTAAATATACCCTTTTTCAGTTTTTTTTCCTTTTAATATTATCTGTTTACTGCAACATATAACTTTTATATGGCCAAATCTACAGTTTTAAATTTAATGCTTCCTGCCTTAGTGTTATGTTTGGAATCCTTTCCCATCCCAAGGTTAAATAAATATTTTATATTTTCTTCAGTTACTTTTAACATTAAATTTTTTACTCCCTCTCAAATGTAGGGCAGTAATCTAATTTCAGTTTTTTCCCCCACTTGGCTCACAAATTGTCCCATCAGTTTCTTTCTCCTATGAATTGAAAAACTACCTTATAATAAATGCAGTTTCTTTATACACTTGAATGTTGCTCAATATTTCTTTTATTTATCTATTTATACCCATATGGAATTGTTCTAATTATTATGTGTTTAAAGAACATTTTAATAATATTAGGTAAGTTTCCCTGTATTATTTTTCCTCGCCATTCTCACTTCTATTCCAAAGAAGACTCTGAGTCATTATGAAGCTCTAAAACCAGTTCTTCAACTGAAGTGACATTAAAATTATAGATTATTTTGAAGAAACTAGTATTTTCACAACACCATCTTCCACTCCAATGGCTGGAATATGGCATGCCCTCCATTCACTTACATCACCTTCTTTGTCATCAGCTGCATTTTTAGTTTTCTTCCCACTGACCTATGTATTTTTTAAATTCATTAAGATATTCAATCTTGGTTAAATTTTCTATAAGTGAATCAAACTTTTCTCCCCCATTACATTTCTTAAGTAGGTATTCCTGGCATTAAGGAAGGCTTTTAAAATTTGTTATGTTTACTTTGCAGCTGGCAGTTCAGTGAGTTAATTCTCATTCTTAGCTGATCCTCTTGAATTTTCGTAGTAATACCATAAGCGCTAATAGTGGCAACTCTTAGCTCCCAATGGTATGATTTTGTTTGTTTTTGGTGCTTACTGAGAGCCTGACACTCTGTTAAGCACTTTACTGACACTCACATTTAATTCTTACAAGAATCCTATGAGGCAGATAAGAACATCCCCTACGGAGGAAACAGAATTAGAAATTACATCACCTGCCCACTGTCACAATGCTAGTAAGTAGTAGTTAAATGCTAATATGGTTGTTTGACACAGACATTTTGACATGTACTAAAAATCCCACCAAATGTTTATCATTATTATCAAGAAACATGGGCAAAAGACATTTTCACCCCATCTCCTTTAGGAAGGGTCTTGAATAATGGCTGGTCAAGGTTGTCTGCCGTGAACACCAATTAGTATGTTTATTTTCTTTTTTTTGAAACACTTTGAAGGGGTATTTTAAAGCAGGAGCAAAATGTCTCTTTTTAATAATATCTCAAGGAATTTCAAATTTCAAAATCCAAACTTGAAATTATTTAATATGCTATAATTACACACTACAATAACTTTTCCTCCTTTACAGTACATATACCTCTAATTTTTATTTTCTCATCTGCTGAATTAGAACTCACAGAATCCAAGTTAGCCTTCTTCACAAGCTACTGGGCAAAGAAGAAACCCCTAGACCAGAGAGATTTCCAGCACGCTACTTAAACACCATCAACCTCAAATGGGTCCTCAATGATTTCTAACGACACTGTATCTTGGCTCTTTTCCTATCCTTACCTCCTCTTCCTCGCCTCCTCAGGCCCCTTCTCACTGAACACTGTTCCTAGGTCATCTTATCTAATCCACAACATTTAGTATCCCCAGCGGGGGTCTCTTTACTGTACTTTACAGTAGGTTACCACATTAACTAACACACAATCCATTTGGTTGGCTCAGATTCTCAAATTCCATATGCCCAAAACTGAACTCATCTTCTCGCCTCTGTCTTAGTGTTCCCCACCCTCAATTGGGAACACAAGACCTCAGGTGACAGCTGTTGACTCTTCTTCCCTTATGACCCGTTACCAAGTCCTACTAACTGTATCTCAAAAATACCTTCCCCCATTGCCACTGTCAACTACCTGACCTAGGTATAATCATTTCTTTTGTGAATTACTACAAAAGCCTTCTAAACTCATTTCCCAACCTCCAGGCTTGACCCTACTAGAGAATTTCTCCACTGCAACCTTCACACATGCTCTTTGTCTTCCCCTACCAAACCCCTCCCCTACTGCACTCCTATGCATACTTTAGGTATCGATAAAATATCACTCCCTATGACTACTCTAGATTAAGTTTTTCACTGATGTATTTCCAGAGCAACATGTAATTGCTCTATCAAAAGCACTTCCCACAGCACTTAACTGTCTTATTCCTGTAAAGTGGGGACTTTCTTGTTAATAACTGTTTAACTCACCAGTAAAATACCTAGGATACACCAGAATGCAATATTTTTCCTTCGTATCACAGCACAAGCTGAGCTTTCTTCATTAATTTTTCATCTTTAAAGCCTTTTTCTGCTTTTTCATATGCTCTACCTATCTCTATAGCAATTAGATCAGATATAATTATATACATATGGTTACCATTTATTTGGCACTAACTTTCGGCTCAGTTCTAAGTGTTTTAAATGTATGATTTCTGTGGCTTCTCATCACTCAGTACGTATAACCATCCTTATTTTAGACAAAGACATTGAGGCTTAAAAGGTTAGATAACTGCCCAGCAAGACTGTTGGAAGAACTAATAATTGACACCCAATCTGTCAGACTCAAGAGTGCTTTTCTTAAAGACCATAAATTTTACTTCTAGATACAGATTTGGTTACATCCTGTAAGTTTTTGTTTATAGCAATCTCAATCTCAATATTCTAAAGTATGACCGCAGTTTTGCTCTTTTTTTTCTGAAACAAGTAAATATTTAAGAGCATAATTATGAATTTCCAAGGTATTTTTTTTAAATACCTTGAATGATTAAGGTATAGTTTTATAGCAATTGAGGTCACAAAAAGTGACTCAGATAATTTCTAATTGGGGAAATTTAGTAATATTTTCCTGGTGGATAATCAATGCATCTTAAAATAAGTTTTTTTTAAGTTACTGGCTGCTTTAGCTTGAAAAGCTAAAAGGGCATTTTGGACAGACTCAGGCTATTCTGAAGACTTGGCCAATATTTGCACAAGCACAAAATCTGAAATGAAGGAGATAATCCTATGACTTCTTCCAGTGTCAACTCCTTGCTTACCTTCCAGATCTCTTATACTCTTTTTTGTAGGACCTTTCCAGAGATGGTGATCTTCGGCAGTCCCGGTGCCTGTGTCTCTCCCGTTCCCGCTCTCTTAAAGGAATTAATACACAGAGCTGTTTTCAACAGAAAGACTCAAAAACACCATCTCTTTTCACTGAATTCATCTTCTACATCAATGGACCTCATGTAAGAGTTTTTCAAGCACTATTCTCTATGGGACATTTTTACTGATCCTTCATTTATTAAGAGGATAAAGGGGCATTTGACTTTGCAGAAGTTAACTAAGTTGGACCTTTTTTGCTGTTTTCTTTAAAGAAAGAAGTCACACTTGATGCTAAGCAACAGAGGGAATTTTATCATAATTTTCTCATAAGACCTTCCAATGAGTTAATCCTGTTATTTAACTAACAGAGAAACCTTTAAAATATCCATTGCCTGTTGATTTCTAGAAAATTCTCAATATCATTCATCAAATAAATGCAAATTAAAGCTTTTACAGTAAAGATTAGGACAAGGTTCTATAACGAAGGAGTTCTAAACCCTTACAGGTCATAGGCCTGTGTTGTACTTCTAGCGATCACTGACAGAAGAGCGCAGGTCACTTTACATTTAATGCTGTTTTCATCTGGAAAAAACTCTAAATGGAGACACCTGAGTTTATTCAGAGTAAAAATGGAATGAGGGATTTTAACACCTTCCAATGTAAAGCTGGAATTTAATAATAATAATAACTTTTGAGTCTATTTACTAAGGACAACAAAGATCAGGGAAAAAATCAGAAGCTCCAGTGTGCCTGAATCGGAACTAAATCTAAGGGAAATAACCACCCAATTGCAGAATGGGAAAAAAATACTTCATTATATATATATTAGCCTGACTCCACCAAAAAGGCTATAAAAATATCTGAACTATAAAATATCACTCATCCTACAGCCAAATAGAAAAGTATATACACTGAAATAAAAACTTAACTGATAGAAATCTGTGAGTGCTTAGATATTAAAGAAAAAATTGTTTTTTTCACATAAAGATCATTCTCTCCTCAATAAAGACTCCTCTGAATAATATACTTTTGATATATACATAAGCCCCAGTTACACACCAGCTGTCCAAAATAAAGTAGCCAGAACTTGTGATTCTACAATCTTTATCTGATAAACTTCTAATATTATAGTTTACTCTTAGGCATAAATCCCAAATAGTGAGCAGAACCACATGAAAAAATGTAACATAATTCATAATGGCATTGCTGCTGAACAGAGTAATTGTCTGTATTTCCAAACAAAAACTATTTAAAGGATATTCCTAATTTTTTGTTTGTTTTTAAATCTATAGGCAACAGAATATTGCATTCAAAATGGCACTTATGATTGCTACCTCTGAGTGGGTATGAGTTAAAAAGACCAGTTTGAACATAAATGACATTAGTAACACTACATGATGAACCCATTTAAAGCAAAAAAAAAAGTCTGGGTTACTTTTCCAGACTCTTCCTCATTAGCAAGCATTAAGATATTTCTTATGTACATAATACTAGCCCCCAGATGCCTAAACACTACAGTCATCAGGGAGCTGTCGGGGGGATAACTGTGCCCAAGCGCTGCTCAGTCACTTGGCACCGACGTGCAGCTCCTCACCACTCTGCAGAGCAAGCTCAGCGCCTGAAATCTGCAGCTGCTTCTTTTCCCATTCCCGGGAGGAGCCTTCATCTTTCAGAATAGCAAATACAAATATACACCCACTTCTTCGCAAATTTTCTCCAGAAATATCTTGCCCTAAAACAATCTTGTAATTATTATTCAATCACATTTCAGAGGAGGAGAAAATACTGTAAAATCTAATTTGAAAAAGGAGAGATTCACTTACCCCAAGGAGCCAAGGGAGAAGTAGCCCAAGGACAGACTACAGAACTGGCCTCAACTTAACACGATCTAATGCGCACATCTGTGAAGCTTTGGCTTTCTTCAACATACTTCTAGAAAGTATGCTAGGACTTCATGTCCCATGTTTACTTCACAGCAGTCCACATAAGACAAATGATTGCTTTTCTACCTAAGACCTCGAAGGGAGCTGATTATAATGTGGCTCCATATTAAAGCAGGTCCAGGCAAACTCCCTGAGTACAACATTACAAAACAACTCCAATATAAATATGGGCTACTTAGAAAGATGAACTAACTACCTAGTCCTTCATAGTAAAGGAGTTGTAGTTTAGGATAACGGGGAGTAATGGCAATTCTTTCTGCACTTCATTTCACTCACTAATAGAGAGCCTCAGTTTATAGGACACCTGAGTTCCTTCAAACATATAACTCCAAATTTAAGCCTACATGTCAGAAATTAGGATTTTACAGAACCCCAAAAACTCCCCTAACTACAGCACCCCAAAACAGAAGAAAAAAATGCTAACATGTTGAAGTTTGCAGCAGAATATTTCCTGAGACAGAATTACTAACAATCCCTTCAAAGTCTGAAGACAACTATTACAAACTCTTTGCAGTTTAGATTTTCACCATACCAATTAGTCCATCACAGAACAATTAAGTACAAAATTGACCAAAAACAGTAATTCATGCTGGAAAGATGTTTAAAAGTCTACCGACTGTCAATGTTGGCCCATCAGAAATCAGTCATCCCTGCAGGGAACATTCCCTTCTACCTTTTCCTGGATGTCAAGAAGAGGCAACAATCCATTTCAACCCAAACCTTCTGAGCACTGGTCACTCTCTTCATGCTGAGAATGGCCACGACCATTTACTGGCAAAATGTTCAGTCAGAATCAGACTGACAGCCAACAAGAAAACCATGGAAATGACAAGTGAGCTGATTCCCCAAGAGCCAAGACCAGCTCTCTACAAACCCATATAATGAGTGACCTGGTTTGGAGAGGTCAAACAGTTAAATATTTGTAGCACAGAAGTTCCACAAGACAATGAAGGTAAGCACATCACAGGGAACAGAAAGAGAAGCACCAAGCTTGACAACTGGAAAATCTCAAATCTTCATCAATATAAAGAGTTCACTGAATGTACAAACAAACATCAGTACAATTATTACCTATGTATTTTTTATTTTCCACCTAAACAATAGTTCTTAGAGTTTTGGAAAAACAGACTCACACCACCTAGAGAATCTGCTGTAAGCTACTAATTTACTTACAGAAAAACATACACACACATAGAATTCTGCATATAACTTCAGAGCATTTCAACAAGCCCACCTATGAATTCCAGTTTAAGAAGGCCTGCTGGAAACCTTATTCTCTTGTATATATATCTATATATATATAGATAGATAGATAGATATATAGTCTTTTGAAAAAAAAGAAATGTAATCTGGAATGGAACAGTAGTATTTATTTAAATACAACTTTTTTTCAGTATGAATATGTTTCAGTGCAACAAAATTAGGTTAAAAGCTATTTTTAAAATGTTGATAATATATAATATTATTTCATCTTACAAGGAAACAAAGCAAGAAGGCAACAACATACAATAAACTTCCACTTATCCAAAAAGTCAGAAAGCAAGTTGTGCTTGTTAACTAGTTTGATCCTAACTGAGAACACATGGATCAATTCCAAAAGACTCAAGTGCTGTCACCTAATGATCATACAGAACATAATTAAGCATAACATAAAAAAACCAATACAAGATCTTTCATTGGATCAGCATTAAAAAATGTAAACTGTATTATGTAGAGTGATGGATTTATATTCACTGAAGTGAACCTACATTGATAATTTTGGGATGCTTTTCAAAAGTGGCTTTTTCTGACTTCTTTCTGGTCAATTGCCTCTTTTTCTTCAGAACAGCTCAAAACATGCTTTCCTTCCTCTTGCAAACCGAAATGCACTGCGGGGCCTTTTTGGTTGGTTTGCTGCTGAATAGAAATGGCCTGTCTGGGCCTCTGCATTGCATGAAAACACACGAACTTTACCTGCTCCGCTCATAGCTCCGGTGGCGGGACAGTGTCCTCCCTCGGTCGTAATCTGATCGGTAGCGGCTATCTTGTCTTCTCCTATCAGGACTTCGGCCTCGCTCCCGCCGGTCCAGGGACCGATGCCGCTCGCCTCGCCCATGACTATGATCCCGGTGCCTGTGATCATCGTAGTGCTTGAGTCTTTCTGGGGACCTTCTCTCACTGGGAGCCTTTGGGAGCGGGTAAGGGGGGAGATGCCTAAAATGAGGACTACTGCTGTTATTCACACTGGGTGGGAAAGAACTAGGGCTGTTCTGGAAGCTATTAAAATTGGGAGGTGGGAAATTGTGGTGTGAGTATCCGGGAGGGTACTGATAATTGACCTGCTGTGGCATGACTGGAGGGGGTGGGGGGTGCGGCATGGAAGGAGGGGGCATCATGAAGGGGAAAGTGCCTTGTCCAGGAGGTGCTCCAGGGACTGGGGGGTTATTAGGACAGGGCATTGGAGGTGGCATGGGAGGAAAACAGGGAGGCACTGGGAAGGGGGGCCTCATCTGGTGGTTGGGGAAGGGGGGCCGGATTGGGCAAGGGGGAAGAGGGCCTTGTGCTGAAGGAGGCATGGGTGGAGGGAAGGGTACAAAGTCTGGTCGCGGAGGCAGAAAATTGGGGGCTGGAGAGTTCGAGAATGTGGTGGAAGGGGCACTCGGAGGTTCATATTGGTATTGCACAGGAGGCTGCTGAGGGTGAAGTAGTCTCAGATTTTGAGGTCTAAAGGCTGGAGCTGAGGGTCGGGCTCCATGTCCTCCACGCCCTCGGGGACATCCTCGTCCTGGGTGGAATGACATTCTATGACTTTGTTGGAAGAGAAAAAATGAGAGAAGAAAAGGAAAAACTCACTACGTAAATAAACAGAGTTTCATAAATGCCACCTTCAGGAGCAACTGACAGACCCCTTAGGCTACTGGAATATTCCATCCATCTAATGCTGACTTCTCTGTGATATCTGAAACTCCTCATGGCCAATCAACCCCTCTTCCCCTGTGTCAGCCACCCATCCCACTGTACGGTCAGTGCCAAGCCAACAGTTCCTAAAGCTGCTCCACCTCCACAGTGACAAGTCCAACATCCCACTGTTTAGCCATTTGTATCACGTACTTGCTCAAGTTCCCCAAAAACCCTGACCATACCATGTCACCTGCCCACACACACCGGTTTTTACATCTGCACCAGCACCTTCCTGTCTTCACCTTCCTCCTCATTCAGCATAGACTCCAAAACTTCAACATAACATGTCCTAAAAGGATTTACTGGTCTTCCCCTCCAAGACAACACCACTTGCTCCTTTTTTAATGTTTCTTATCTCAACAGATGATACCATTTATTGGTCCTCAGGTCATACACCAGAGAATTATTTGACTTTTCCTCTCTTTTACTCTTTAACTAAAAATCTATTTTAAAATTCCTATCATTTCTGCTCCTGTATACTTGAGTTTATCCACTCCACACCACCACTTCTTGCCTGAGCACTACAGCCTTGCCAGCCTTTCTGCAGTCACTATCATCACCCCTCAGGCCTCTGCCAGGTACTCTGTTCCCACACTCTGTGCTGCTTCTTGGCAGGTCCTACCATAATTACAAGCAACCAACTACTTACCTGATTCCCCCATGTTTCCCTGCACCTTCCAACTGCAAGCTCCGTCAGGCAAGGCTCCAAGAGCAGTTTCATTAACTGCTCTGTTCTGGGTTCCCAGTCATGTACATGGCCCACCTGAACAAACTTCCCCCTCTCCTCACATATCTAAATCCTTCCCATCCTCTATGGCCCAGTGCCAATGTTCACTCCTCTCTCTGTTCTCCCAAAACTGCCATTACTATCACACCACTCACCATGTATTGCCTTGCATCATGATGTACTGTCTGAATATATCACATCTTCCACAGAGAACATAAGCTCTAGAGGACAGAAAGAATAAAACAGACATAAAACTGTTTCCCAAACTGCTAATTCTCAAAAATATTTCTGTGATTATCTTAAAACTGATTTTGCCCTCATTTAGTATACTAACAAAACTAAGAGCTGAATTAAACCATTTTTAAGATGTCCTTAATACTTGTCTTGAGGACTCAGAACATCAGTAGCTAAAAGACTGAGAACTTGGGCATAATCCATCTCTAATTTGCTAAAAGATTGGGAGAAAAATCTTCTCTCCCTCTCCATTCTTCAATGAGAACAGCATTCAAATTCAAATGTAACTATAATCTTGTAAACACAAGTTATACTTACTTTCATTCTCAGCTTTTCCCACAGAAGAATGTTTTGAACATGAATGACTTTGCAAATACTTTAACTTTAGCAAAATGTTTAACACATTCAATTAAATCTAAGTGCAAAAGCTTTAAGTAGAAGCATCTTCCTAAAGTCTTTCTAACTAAAGGATTTACTAGTAGGCTTAAAATAAATTTTAAGTGGCTCGTGAATATAATTTCATATTATTTAGCTGTATCAATCACTGTGCTTAGTTAACTAGTAGGTACCAAATAATATTTGAGTAATGATTATTACTATATAGCCCAAGGCCTTCATGATAAACATAGGGCCCAGACAGCTGATGTTGCCGCCATGGGCTCCTCACTGCCAAAAGAACCAATTCAAACTTCACACACATTTAAGGTCCTCTAAAATCCAGACCCAACTTCTTTCAGGCCTCTCTTCCTTAAGCTTCCACATGAAGTGCCTGCCTCTCACCCCAGATTTTTCCAGCTACCTAACATACCTAGCTATCACCCAAACTGTTCGTATCTCCCACTTTTCTAAAATCCCCTACCCAATGAATGTGCCCACTAAATTTCCACCCATCTACCTATGTCAAATGTCACCTATTCTGTGAAGCCTTTCCTGATTCCCTTAAGAAAATAATCCCATTCCTCTAGACTTCCACTGCTTAGTCCATACTTACTTCTTTTACAGCACTTACCGGAGACTGTCTCATATTATAGTCATGTGTGCACATGTCTAATTCCTCCACTAGATTATTAGCTCCTTGATGACATGGGCTGATTATTAGTCATTTCTGAATCCTTCACCGACCCTGGCAGAGCATCCTGCACACAGTAGGTGGTCAATAAATGTTTACTGTATCATCAATGGCATGTTTTCATGTTGTACTGTACATTTTCCTTCCACATATATCCACAACAGATCTGCATTACCAAAACCAGACAAAAAAGTAGGCCCTTTCACTGATTAACACAACATTTAATGAACCTCTAAGTGCAGGGTACTGTCACAGGCCCTATGGACTCAAAGATGAGTAAGTCGCACAGCCTGCAGGACTCACAGAGTTCAGAACCCACATACAAATACATTTTTCAAAAGCAGTATGTGATAAACGGAACACAAAGGAATGTGCAGACCGTAGAGGTAGGCAAGTCAGGATCACAAACATTCTTGTACAGTGTAACAGTTGAACATTTACTATTAGATCCTTAAGGATGTTTCTATATACAAACTATCTGAAAACACTGACTATGAAACTGATCTATTAAAGGCATAGTCGGGCTATGTTGTAAATGCAAACTTTTAATTCAACACTCAAGGAATTCACTGCAACGTAAAGGGTAATTATGTTCTGGGTCCGCCTACTCCTAGGTTGCTGTTTGGAAGCAGGGAAACTGAGGGAACTGTTTTGAATAGTTAACATGTCCAGGAACATCAGTCTATGTAGAAAGAGTTGCAAAGTATGACTGTATTTTTATTAAGAATAGCTTTCCCCCAATTGAATCCTCAGGTCGGTCACCTCTGTCCGGGTGATCTGCAATTGCTTGTTTTTCTATTTGCATCTCCCGCCAGACTGTGAGCCCCACGAGGCAGGCGCTGGGCTCATGATCTCGCTCCCCTGCTGGACCCGGGCGGCCCCCAGGCCTGGACCATCGCGTGCGCTCCACAAATGAATGAACGGTCTCATTTTCCATTTCTGTCTACCTCCGTGATTCGGGCCTAGGGGCGCTTTTTTGCCCTTAGCTACAGATCTGAAGAGGGGCTGCCCGATCCCAACTCCCAGGCGCCTTTGGCCCCAGCCCCGTTTAAACCGAGACACTCGGAAACACGCCCTCTTCCAAACCCCCGAAAAGTGCCCCTTTTACCTACAAAAGGCTCTCCTGCCGCGAGGTCGCTGTCAGAGCAAATCCAGGCTTATACTACAGCCACCAAGACAGTAGCGCCACCCGCGCTTCCGGAACAGGAAACCGAGAAAATAAAGAGCAAACCTGAGAAAGCTGGACCACCGGAGGGAAAGAAAGCCCTTAGCTCGCTGCAGCGCCTTGGGTGCGGTGATTGGTGCGTCTACAAGAGCGATGTATATCTAAGCCAATCGTCTTTCGCAGATTCCCCGGTGCCCGCCCTCTGCCCTCTACATCTTCCAATCCGGAACCGCAACCGGGTGAGAGCGCCTTTCTACCGGGGAGGGCGGTGCGGCCGTGGACAGGTTTGACGTTCTGCGGTCTTCGCTCCGCGCGGCCTGTGCGCTGGGACCCTGCCAGGTGCGGAGATATGAGCGACCCCCCAGAAGAGTGCGCTCGCCTCCGGCGCTATCTGGCGCTCCCGGTGTGGGTGGTGGAGGACCATCAGGAGGTGAGCAAGCAGCTGCCGAGCGCTGAGGCAGATTAGCGCGAGGGCCACGGAGGCGGCGGAACCTCGGTATCCAAGCCGGAAAGCCAGAATCTCTTGTCGCCCCAGTTTCATAGCTCTGAGGAAAACACCAAAATCGCTAATTTGAAAAAATCGGCGCTGACGTTCATAGGGCTCTTATTGTATAAATGTCGGGCAACTAAGTTGACACTCACCGTTTGTCTAAAATCCCACAACCAACAACCGATGTCGGGATTCGATGCCGCCCGGGTCTGACTACAGAGTCAGTGTTCTTCATCTGCTCGTTAACGTAGGCTTCCAGTCGTCGCCCGGCCGCTGCTCCATCACAGCCCTGCTGTCATCTGTAGGATGGGCGCAGTCGTCCTGGCACTCAGCCCGTAGTAATATCACAGTGTGCGTAGTGTGTACATAAATCTTTTAACACGGTGTCTCGCGTGTTAAACGCTAAAGATAATTTCTATTTTTATGGTAGTAGCAAAAGTGGTGCTTTAATCTAGACTTCTGAAAACCTGTAACGCAGTCCCATGCATCTAAGACTTTTTAGAAATAGCATTAATAAGCTTTGGGAGTTCTCTGGATATGAAAGAGGAAGAGAGCGATTCTGGATTTGTGGAAGGAGAAAGTGACGAGAGGAAGGAATTTGGGTTTCTAGGGACCTAGGGGTAGGTGTTTGGGCCTGTGAGAAAGAGCAAGCGTTGGGTGGTGCTTTCAAATTCAGCCTTAAACCTATAGCCCTAGAGACTGTAGCAGGACAAATGCCTTACAGACCACCTAGCCCAGCCCCACCATCCTACAGGTATGGAAAAGGCCATGAGACCCAGGGTAGCTTGAGCATATTAATTCCAGAAAGTGTATTAACGAGTAGTTTTCTTCCTGAGTGCCACCCCTGGTCTGTTTCCCCCACATTATCTGTTGAATTAGTGCCGGGGACAAGATGGCAGCAAGAGATGCCCATATAAAGCCTTAGCAGGTGCAAGTTGGAAGTTCTGAGGAGACAATAAAGCTTGAAATCATTAAACCATCTACAATGAATAAATTTTATATTTTCCTTTTTAATAACTTGGTGTGCTTCGAATTATGTGCAGTTGTTTAGCATTGTTTTTCAGTCTGCCGTTGAGTGTGTGCTCATGATTTGAGTGCCATTCCTGAATATGTGCATGTGGCTTTTACAGGTCCTGCCTTTTATATACCGAGCCATTGGCTCAAAGCATCTTCCTGCCAGTAATATAAGTTTTCTGCATTTTGATTCGCATCCAGACCTCCTTATTCCTGTAAACATGCCAGCTGACACTGTGTTTGATAAGGAAACACTTTTCGGGTAATATATGACTTTTAATCTGTTATGTGCTTGAAATACAATTTGCAGTAGATGATAAAGTAATTAAGGGAAAATGGACTTTGCTAAGCCCTTGAATTTTGTTTTTGTTTTGTTTGCCTTTTTATTTTATTTCCAGTACTGACAAACTTTTACTTAGAGAGCCACATAGTAAATATTTCAGACTTGCAGTCCATATGGTATCTGTTGTAACTACTTATCTCTGCCCTGGTAGTGTGAAGCAAAGCAGACCAAGGTAAATAAATGACTGTGGATGTATTCCAGTAAACATTTTATTTGCAAAAACGGGTGACCAAACCAATGTTTGCAAACTTCTGCTTTAAAATGTAGAATTTTAGAAGAGACGCTAGAAACTATCTGAGCCATTTTTCCATTCCTCTCTCGTTTAAAAGTCTAAATACTGAGGAACAAGAAAATGTGTTATAAACACATTGTTCAGTAACTGTGTAGGCAACACATCTTAATTTGTATATTCTAGTATTGAGTCCTTTCAACCTCCGAACTGGTTCATTTTCAGATCACAAATCCTATTTACTTTCAGTTACATAGAATCATAGAGATGGAAGTGAAATTGGTAATCTGTATTCCATTCTTCAGGGAGTATCATACCTTATATATATATATCTCTAAGTAATGATTTACTAGGTTCTTCTGTAAAGTTCCCCGAAATACTGTCATTGTCCCTTTATGTTGGAATTTGTTAGAATGTAACCTACTCATACAATATCAAAAGTTATATAGCAGTAATTTTCCTGTTATAATATTAAATAAAAAATAGATGCTTGTGTGAATTAATTTTAGCCTACTACATCTCTTAATTGACTTTCTCCCAAACCTGAGGTCGGAGCACTAATTTCTAAATAAATGCAGTAGTTCTACCATTGTCTTTGTCCTCCTTTCTATTTAGAGTTTTTATATCTTAGAAAGTGAATTATGAAGCAGGTATGCAGACTGTACAATTAGTCATAGAATAGTAGTTCTTAAACTTCTTAGTCTCAAAATTCCTGTACACCTCTAAAAATCACTGATTTTTTAAAAATATAGGTTGTATCTATTGATATTTATCATATTTGAAATTAAAACTGAGAAATGTTTAAAGTATTAACTCATTTCAAAATAACAAAAGCCTTTATGTTAGCATAAATAAAATATATTTTTGAAAGAAATATTTTCTAAAGCAAAAAACTTTAGTAAGAAGAATAACAGTGTATACATTTTTGCAGATCTCTTTAACATTTGCCTTTATAGAAGACAGCTGGATTCTCATATCTGCTTCTGCATTCAGTCTGTTGACATATGCTGTTTTGGTAGTATTATATGAAGAAAATTCAGGAAAAGTATTCTCATAGCCTTGTCAGACAATTGTGAATATTCTTCAATACCATACCAAAACTTGACAAGTGGTAGTTTCATGAAGGTTAAGTTGGAGTATAGAATGCAACAATTCCAATGCAAGTCTGAATAACCATAGTTGTATCAGTCTTTCAAGAAAAATGGTGTTTGCAAGAAATTGGCTTTTTGCTGGTGGCACAAGTGCTTGGTAGTGAGGAATACAAGGAATATTATTAGGGTCTGGTGCTATTGCCTTGATTAATCTTAGGACACCAGTCCACCATTGCTTTGCACATTAGTGCCAATGTCCATACACTGAAAAAGGGAAATAATGCCTTAGTGTCATTAGGAGATTGTTAAAATATTGTTGTGGGTGAAATTACATTTGGGGAAAAAAACGCTCACTAATAGTTTCCATGCTTCCCATTTCTTTTTCAGAGAATTAAGTATTGAGAATTGGATTATGCCTGCAGTTTATGCTGGCCATTTTTCTCATGTAATATGGTTTCATCCCACATGGGCTCAGCAAATCAAAGAGGGCAAACATCACTTTTTAGTAGGCAAAGACACTTCTACCACAACTATCAGGTAATTTCCTCATATTTGTGAGCATGACAGGAGTTAAATGTTTCTCCTATCTTATTTTGGATCTCCATAATAATTTATAAATATTTTTCTACATAAATGGGAGCAGATTAAGCCTTACCTCTTCCAAAAAGAGTTTCTCAAAACATCAAGAACAAGTTTTCAAGTTTCTTGACCTTCATCATGTACCATTTATATTTTGTTGCTGGTCAAGTTGGTTTTGAGTACCTGTGGTCTTCATCCTCTGGAATTCTGGCTTCATTGATGACTAACTCCATTAAATCATTGAAGTATCTTACACATTTATATATTTAATGATACATTTTATTATTTCCTTCCAATGTAACTGTTGTCTGCTAAATTTAAGGATTAGCAGTGAAAAGGGTGTTATCTCACATTGGTTTTTTTACATATCTAATGGCTGAGAAATAGATTGTGGGTTTTAGTTTTATTAATGTGATTAACTTTAGACACTTAATCTAAATTAAATTGCAGCATTCTCTGACTTGAGTTACATATGCAACTATTTTTGTTGTATTAGCTATCATAAAGTATGTGTGTATTAATTTTGTGAATTAACGAATCTTTTGCGTGTCTTGTGATACTATAATATCTTTAGAAATATGAGAATGTTCTTCACTTCAATCTCCTTTGATGGGAGGAAGCAGTAGAACCATAACTTTCTAGAACTTGAAGGATGGTAGGATGAAATGGTAATACACTGAAAATGGAATACAGTCTTTCTCACTGAAAATACTTTTTATTTCTGATTTATCCTTAATGATAAAATTAATTTTTATTGTATGTTTTTATCAATTGCAAAAATAACTTTGCTGTGTATACATGAAAATTGTATTTGTTAAGATAATACTAAATAGGGCTCCACATTAATAAATATTACAGATAATACTAGTATATGTGAATACTGGTATGGGTTTTATTGAATATTTCAGTGAGTAGGTCTAATTTAACCTGTGACAGGTTTCTGCAAAATCAAACGATTTTGAGCCATCTCTAACAGACATTTAAAATGTATAATAACAGTATTA